ATTGTGGGATATCAGGTGGCTCTCTGTAGTCATACCAAAGCCACAGCTTTCTACAGGCCTTTCTCCCCCTCCCACCTCTCTCCCTATCCAAGCGAGCAAAAGGCAAGAGAGCCAGTGTGGTGTAGTGGTTAAGAGCGATAGACTCGTAATCTGGGGAACCAGGTTCGCTTCCCCGCTCCTCCACATGCAGCTGCTGGGCGACTTTGGGCTAGTCACACTTCTTTGAAGTCTCTCAGCCCCACTCACCTCACAGAGTGTTTGTTGTGGGGGAGGAAGGGAAAGGAGAATGTTAGCCGCTTTGAGACTCCTTAGGGTAGTGATAAAGCGGGATATCAAATCCAAGAGCACAGCTCAAAGGGCTGCAATCTTGAAAAGCAAAAGCACTTGAGGAAGGCACAGGGTGGAGCTGGAGAGGGCATGTGGCCTGGGAAGAGACCCTCAGGCCACATGGAGAAGCATGGATGAAGGAATGACTGCCGGGTGTGAAGCACACTTCCACCCACAGACAAGCCACAGCTATCTGTCTGTCCGCTATCTAACCTTTGGCTTTCTCTATCCCTTTGACAGCTCAGGGGAGACTCCCCTCGCCTGGAAGCAGCCCAGCAGCCAGGGGGCAATGGCATGGCACCTGCCCATGACTCCCAAGCTTTCCCATACCTGTCAAAATGCAGGGGGAAGGGAGGATGGCCGCAGGCAAGGCGGCACAGCTCTGCCCCTTCCCCTGACGGCTCGGGGTAGGCTTGGGAGTCACGAGTGGGCGGCGCGCCAAATGTCACCCCTCCTCAGTGATGACATCCGGGGCAGACCGCCCCCTTCCTCCGCCCCGGTCCAGCCAGCCCCTGACATTAACATAATTTTTAACAGACCCACATGAAACTACAATTCCTGGAATTAATAAAATTTTAAAAAGAGCACACAGCTGCAAGGTTATAAGACCTCATTAAAACAGTTCAGAAGAAGAAGAGCCTTATGATGGGTGCATTTATATTGTCATGCGCTGTTCCAAAAATCTCCGAAAGGTTACCAAACTAAAGATTTGGTTGCATAATCATTCTTCCCCAGTGAGCAGGAACATATTATCTCAATTTATTCATATCCATGATGTCCCAGGTCTTAATCAGCCATTGCAATTCTCCCACAACGTGTTTTGTCTTCCAGCTACTTGCTAACCCTTTCTTGGGTGCTGTCAGAAGGTTCAGACTCAAAGTCTTGCCTTCAGTCAACACAGGCTAATCCCTTTTGATGTGGAGTAAGAGAGTTGCAGACCCAGTGCTGGATTTACATATAAGCTAAACAAGCTATAGCTTAGGGCCCCACTCTCTTGGGGGCCCCCAAAAAAATTAAAGGGGGAAAAACTGGATGTACATTTCCAAAATATAAGATAAAAAACAAATAAAATAAAACCTACATCCAGCAACAGTGTTTTGTGTTGTGTAGGCTCCTATGATGTAAGTCATGGGCCCTGCCTGCTAGCCTGCTCCCTAAAATATCACTGGTTTGCTCCTTTCTATATATAGGGTGCCTACATTCTGCACGGACTGGTTGCGTGGCAACATGGGCAAATGGCTTGAGATTCCTATTAGGTCCATAAATTACCATACAGCATATATTCAACATGAAAAAACAGCAACAATTTGTTGTTGACAAAGGACAGCTGGACATATAAAGGGCCCCATTAGCTTCAGTAGCTTAGGGCCACATCAAACCTACATCCAGCTCTGGTTGCAGCACAATCCTATACAGAGGTAACAGCCAAGATAGGGAGCAGCTGTTGCTTTTTTGTCCCAGAATCCCCAGACCCTCCAAGTGTTTATTTTTCCCAGGGACATCCCTTATTTAGAGAAACCATATTGGTTTCTGATTTGATCCCGGAATGTCTCACTTTTCTGTAGGATGTTCCTCTTTTCATTGGATAAATGTTGGAGGGTATGAAATTATCCAACCCCTGAGCTGCCTGAAGGCAATCCTGTATAGGGAAATTTTTTAAAAAACAAGTTTAATGTTTTATTATGTTTTTATATATGTTGGAAACCGTCCAGAGTGGCTGGGGGAATGCAGCAAGATGTGTGGGGTATAAATAGTAAAATTATCATCATGGAATTTGACATCTCTATTTTCACCGGAGAAATGTCGGAGGATATGACAGCCCAGGTGTGTCACTGGTTGCCTGCAGCACTTCTGGGGAACTTATTCAGCCTCCAACATCTCAGAATTGAGTCTGCAAGCTATTTATGACTACAACATCCAGGTTGGTTTTTATCCTCTTTTTGCTGTTATTTATATTTAAAAAAACGAAGATCATGGCCACTGGTCCCATCACCTCCTGGCAAATAGAAGGGGAAGAAATGGAAGCAGTGAGAGATTTTACTTTCTTGGGCTCCATGATCACTGCAGATGGTGACAGCAGCCACGAAATTAAAAGACGCCTGCTCCTTGGGAGAAAGGCAATGGCAAACCTAGACAGCATCTTAAAAAGCAGAGACATCACCTTGCCAGCAAAGGTCCGTATAGTTAAAGCCATGGTTTTCCCAGTGGTGATGTATGGAAGTGAGAGCTGGACCATCAAGAAGGCTGATGGCCGAAGAAATGATGCTTTTGAATTATGGTGCTGGAGGAGACTCTTGAGAGTCCCATGGACCGCCAGAAGATCAAACCTGTCCATTCTGAAGGAAATCAGCCCTGAGTGCTCACTGGAAGGACAGATCCTGAAGCTGAGTCTCCAATACTTTGGCCACCTCATGAGAAGAGAAGACTTCCTGGAAAAGACCCTGATGGTGGGAAAGATGGAGGGCACAAGGAGAAGGGGACGACAGAGGATGAGATGGTGGGACAGTGTTCTCAAAGCTACCAGCATGAGTCTGACCAAACTGTGGGAGGCAGTGGAAGACAGGAGTGCCTGGCGTGCTCTGGTCCATGGGGTCACAAAGAGTGGGACACGACTAAACGACTAAGCAACAACAACATATTTCCTCCAGCCCTCTTCTTGGCATAAGAACATAAGGAGAGCCTGAAGCTGAATCAGGTCAGTAGCCCATCTAGTCCTGCACCTTAATCTCACAGTGGCCAACCAGTTGACGCCGATTGCTTAGAAAAGCTGCGGGTGAAATGGGGACTTTCAGTCTTGTCAACTCAACTGGTTCATGGGGCAAAACCCAACAGGAATGAGCTGTTGTTCTCCTTAGGCCTGACATTCCGCCAAGTCAGATTTTGCTAATAAAGAGTTAACTCCAACTTCAAACAGTGTGATTTACTGCTGGCTTGCTCTTTGACAGAACATGGCTGTTCCTCTTCCAAAGCCATGCAAGTTAGTGACCATCTTTACCCCTTGTGGGAGAAAATCTCATAGCTTAACTATGAGACGGATGCTGTCTTCTGCAACGGGGACTAAAACTGAGAACCAGATACTCTTCCACTGAGCTAAGGACCTTTCCCCAGGGGTCAGGTGCCAGGAGTTTAAATAGGGGACCTTCTGCAAACCAACTCTGGGTTCTGTCACTGAGCTCTGGAACAAAGGAATCTGTCTTGTACTTAGTCAGACCATAGCAACATCTAGCTTAGTATGGCCTGCACTGGCCTGCAGCAGCTCTCTGGGGTTTCAGATTTCATATATATATATATATATATATATATATATATATATATATATAATTTTTATTAATTTCAACATACCAATTATTATACATTCCACAGAACTTCACATCTTATACAATCTTTTTGGACTTCCATCAGCACCTCTGATGATCCACCATTTTTATCATTTCTTCTGCATTTCTTAAATTCCTATTGCCTTTAATTATCTTAACTCACAATCCACCTCTTTAACCATTTTTGCAATAATTCAAATAATAACAAAACTTCTTGCAAACCTACAAACATAATCTGGTCATCACAATTACTTTTCAAATAATCCGTAAATTTACACCAGTCTGTGAATCTCTGGTCCCGTAGGTTTCGAATTCTTCCAGTTAGTTTATCCAATTCTGCATGGTCCATCAATTTCATCCTCCATTCTTCTTTTGTCGGTAATTCTTCTTGCTTCCAGGGGTTTCAGATTGCAGACATGGAGATGTCAGGGCTGAACCTGGGACCTTTTGCAAGCAAAGCACGTGTTCTACCCCTGAGCTGTGGCCTTGCCATAGAAGATCAGTGGCCACGCTCCATGCTTCCTCTACTCTTCACCTCTTACAGACAGGACCCATCAGAGAGAGCTTAACTGAAGGTTTATTGGGGGAAACATTTACGGAGCTGAAAGAGGGAGGAAAGAAGGAAATGCAACAGAAGATTTTGCAAATCAGGTTAGGTTGGCGGAGAGATGGACCCAGGAGAATGGAACGTTGTTCCGATAGCTTGCCATGTGTTCGGTCTTACGCTGAATCATCTCTCCGTTGGCACATGGTTCTGGCATGTGAAGAGTAGGCAAACGAAGAGACAAAGGTGCGTGTTTATTGTTTCTGCAGGGGATAACACAAATCAATGCTCGCCAGGGCGGCTGAGCAGGAGCTGGAACGCCTCCGGAAAGCCTTCCTGAGTTGGAACATGAGACGCTTCCCAGAAGCCTTTGCAAGAGAATCCGCTTCGAGGCTGAAGGCTGAGAGCTTCAGGCCAGGAGAGAAATTCTGCAAGCACCACGTGGCCGTCGCCACTCATGCTGTTTCTTTGATTAAAAAATGCATTTGGCAAGGATCTGCATTTGGCGGAGGAGCAAACAAATTCATAACTCAGCGGCCTTGCAGAAACTCTGCTGCGAAAGCAGAAAAATTTGGAGCACAATTCCTGGCCGCCCCTGCCGCTTAAAAATATACACGTACCTGGGGTTTAACAGAGGCAAGATTTCCTACTCCAAGGGGAATTTTAGCCAGATCAGATTCTCCTTCCAGTGTAACACTATTGCGGGGATAAAAGTGATGTGATAGATTGAGCAACTGTATAGGGAGTGGCAAGCTAGTTACAGGTAGGTAGCTGTGCTGGTCTGCTGTAGTCGAAACAAAATAAAAAAATTCCTTCCAGTAGCACCATAGAGACCAACAAAGTCTGGTATGAGCTTTCGTGTGCATACCAATAACAAACTTAGTTGGTCTCTAAGGTGCTACTGGAAGGAATTTTTTTATTTTGTTCCTTTCATGGGGATGCTGTTCCTAATAGAGATCAATGTACTTCAAAGTTCCGCACTCGTCACCTCAAAGAGGGTATTGTAGAGTTGGAAAAGGTTCAGAGATGGGCAACCAAAATGATCTAGGGGGTGGAGCAACTCCCCTGCCTCGGTCCAGTAGACCTGAAGGAGCATCTCTACCCCCATCGTTCAGCCCGGACACTGAGCTCCAGCTCCGAGGGCCCTCTGGCGGTTCCCTCCCTGCGAGAAGTGAGGTTACAGGGAACCAGGCAGAGGGCCTTCTCGGTGGTGGCGCCTGCCCTGTGGAATGCCCTCCTTTGATATGTGAAGGAAATAAACAACTACCTCACTTTTAGAAGACATCTGAAGGCAGCCCTGCTTAGGTAAGTTTTTAATGTTTGATCTTTTATTGTGTTTTTAATATTCTGTTGGAAGCCACCCAGAGTAGCTGGGGAAACCCAACCAGATGGGTAGGGTGTAAATAAATAAATAAATAAATATTTATTATTATTATTATTATTATTATTATTATTATTATTATTACCTTTAATTTAGAGAAAAGGAGAGCAAGAGGCAACACAGTAGAGTAGTACAAATTTTTGTTTGGCATGGAGAAAGCGGACAAAGAATTTTTTTCCTCTCGTTCTTTCATAACAGCAGAACTTTCCGACATCCAATGAAACGGAATGTTGGGAGATTCGTGGCAGAGAAAAGGAAGCCGTTCTCCATGCAGCGGCTTGCAGGTTTCAGACAGGAGTCTTGTTGGCCACTGTAAGAACAGGATGCTAGCTAGGCTAGCTGGGCTGTTGGCCCAGCTGCAGAGTCTTCTAATGTTCTTATGTTACGTGTTTATTTATTTCATAAAATGTATACACTGTGATGAGGCTGCATTTTAATATTTTAATGTTTCAATATATTAATGTTGTCTTTTAATCTTGTTTTTAAGTTGTATTCATTTAACTTGTTTTTATTATTGCTTGTTAGCTGCCCTGAGCCCGGCCTTGGCTGGGGAGTGTGGGGTATAAATAAAAATTATTATTATTAATTGTAATTTTTTTTAAAAAAGTCAAACTGGTTCACACAAAGATAAAACAAGAAATCTGAGGGGGGCAGGAATCACAACCCCACTTTAAAAGACACAAAAGCTAAAATACTAAAAACATATTAAAATTGACTCCATTTTCTAAGCAACTTGGTAAAGGTAAAGGTAAAGGGACCCCTGACCATTAGGTCCAGTCGTGGCTGACTCTGGGGTTGCGGTGCTCATCTCGCTTTATTGGCCGAGGGAGCCGGCATACAGCTTCTGGGTCATGTGGCCAGCATGACTAAGCCGCTTCTGGCGAACCAGAGCAGCGCACGGAAACACCGTTTACCTTCCCGCCAGAGTGGTACCTATTTATCTACTTGCACTTTGACGTGCTTTTGCACTGCTAGGTTGGCAGGAGCTGGGACTGAGCAACGGGAGCTCACCGCGTCACGGGGATTCGAACCGCCGACCTTCTGATCAGCAAGTCCTAGGCTCTGTGGTTTAACCCACAGCGCCACCCGCGTCCCTGTCATAAAATGTATACACTGCTTAATTGTAAAAATTATTTTACAAAAGTCAAACTGGTTCACACAAAGATAAAACAAGAAATCTGAGGGGGGAAATCACAACCCCACTTTAAAAGACACAAAAGCTGAAATACTAAAAACATATTAAAATTGCCTCCATTTTCTAAGCAACTTGGTGGGCTCGCCTAAACAAGAGTGTTTTTTGCAGGCGCAAAAACAGAGTACAACTGAAGACGCCTTCTTGATCTCAATAGGTGGGGAGTTCTGAAGTGCAGGCGCCGATTGAGTTCTTACAAATGCAGAATGGGCTTTACGTGGCAACAAAGCAGTAGCGCCAATTCTGCCAATCAAAACAGTCTGCTGCATAGCTGTCAACTTACAGATTTGAAAATAAGGGACCAGCAGCCTCGAAAATAAGGGATCAGCAGCCAAAATAAGGGATCAACAATTACTTTGATAAAATACATATTTTGTTGCGTGCAAATGGTTTTAGATACCTATTAGGTCCTATAAATTACCATATAGCATATATTCAACACAAAAAAAGCAACAATTTGTTGTTGACAAAGCACAGCTGGACATAGAAAGGGCCCCATTACCTTCAGTAGCTTATTTAAGGGGCATCATCAATAAGGGACAGCAGTGGGACATGGCCCTGGGATAAGGGACTGTCCCGCCAAATAAGGGACGCTTGACAGCTATGGTCTGCTGTAAGGCAATGGCTACGTTCCCTGCTAGGACCCAACTGAATTTTCCAGGCAGTGAATGCAAAGTAATAAAACAGGATGCCACCTTTTTGTGGGGAGCAAGAGTGAGGCCCCCATTCTGCAGTATATTCTTGGCTTGCCCTTTGTTGCTGCTGATGTAGAAACTATGATCGAGGGCTGCGTGTGCAACTCTTTATCCTTCATGATCTCTGTCCAGAACAGCACTTCAAAGCTCCTTTAATTCAGGAGGACTGAAAGTAAAGCACATTCTGTGCAGGCAACCAGCCTCTGCTTCGGCGGAGGGTCAGGGCACCCAGAAATGACCTGAGAACTGATCACGCTCTGTCTGCTTCAAAAGCCTGTAGCTATTTATGTATCTGGTGTGGAAGGACGGCCAAGTGCTCCCTCTAGTGGCCGATGTCTTAAACAGCTCATTGACGCCAACATATCTTTCTTGCTGTATTTGCTACGCCTGTGATGGAGCTGAGGGATAACTGGTGGGGAGATAGCAGCAAGCAGAACACCAAGAGACCGTGACTCTGGGTGAAGAAGTGAGGAGGGGGGGCATGCAAAATGTACCAATGGCGGGGGGGAGCAGTTGCAAAACAACTTCTTTTCCAAGGAGGCTGTAAGGTGCGAGCAAAGATTTAATCGCTGCTACAGGCTGCACAGAGCCACATTGAGGTCCTTGTTAGCCCCAGAGCACCACTTTGTAGGTAGCGCCACCTAGAGGATGTGCTGCGGAGACCAGAACATGCTGCAGAGACAAACCTCAGCAGTCCCTAGAGATGACTCTGCCAACGGCAAGGGATGGATGAATCTGCTCTCAGCTGCAGAGAACGGCTTATGAATTTCACTAGAGAGGAGACTTCACCTGTTGCAATCACAGAGAAAGATGCTTGCAGAGTAAGAAAATAAGGTGTTTATTCCAGGAAGTACATAACCTGGAGAGAACAGTTTCCAGTTCTAACCTCACTAACTAATCTATGCAAGACAAAAGCAGCCAGTTTAGCTTCTCAGAAGATAGATCCTCTTATCTTGAGGCCTAAGAGCAAAGTGTGATAGCTTGCAGTCAAACATAACTATGCATGAGTGCTAGTTAGTGCATGAAGGGGTTAAGGCCAAAGAGGTCTGTTCCTAGACTCAGCTAGGTCAAGCCCCCTCTTCTCCCATGACGGAGGAAGTGGAGCCTTCTCTTCCTGTCCCCCTCTCTCCGTGCCATGTAACCCACCAGGAAAAACATGTCTATGCTTTGTTCCAAGCTTAGAGCACGTGTTTGAAGCCATCTTTCTGTATTTTCAACCCAAGAATATCCTGCCTGTGTTCTCCTTACCGCTGCTTTGATAAATGCACAAATCTGACCTTTGGATTTGTAAGTAAAGCATTTTCTTTACTTACCTAGCAGTGTGTGGTCTGTTCGTTGCAAGATGGGTAGAAAGAAGTGAAAGCTTTATGCAACTAAATGGGATAAGAGGGTCTGACAACCTATATGACAGCTATAACGCTGCTTGATTTTTGTGATGCCAAACTCTGCTACTGGGGGCTCTATTCTGCTGGAGAGGGAGTCTAACCCCACGTTTTGAATCTGGGCACCCAGCCAATTCTTTTGTTGTTCATCCCTCATATGTGGGTCACAGGGGTTCAAATTTTCCTCCCCCACAAAGTGTGAGGATGAGGAGGAAGTTGCAAACATGAAGCAACCTGAGGCATATCAGTCTAAACCAGGCATAGGCAAACTCAGGCCTCCAGATGGTTGGGGACTACAACTCCCATCATCCCTAGCTAACAGGACCAGTGGTCAGGGATGATGGGAGTTGTAGTCCCAAAACGTCTGGAGGGCCAAGTTTGCCTATGCCTGGTCTAAACTTTAAAGCACTAGGGAGGTCAGCAAAGAGGTTGAAGGTATAGGGACAGTCTAGGAATCTAGAAGTCCTTTAGATAAAGATAAAGGGAGCCCTGACCGTTAGGTCCACTCTGGGATTGCGGTGCTCATCTTGCTTTCTTGGCCGAGGGAGCCAGCGTCCAGCTTCCGGGTCATGTGGCCAGCATGACTAAGCCGCTTCTGGCGAACCAGAGCAGTGCACGGAAACACCGTTTACCTTCCCGCCGGAGCGGTACCTATTTATCTACTTGCACTTTGATGTGCTTTCAAACTGCTAGGTTGGCAGGAGCTGGGACAGAGCAATGGGAGCTCACCCCGTCGCAGGGATTCGAACTGCTGACCTTCTGATCGGCAAGTCCTAGGCTCTGTGGTTTAACCCACAGCGCCACCCACATCCCTAGAAGTCCTTTACGCTGTCTATTTTAACTCATGCAGGCGCATGAGTTGATGGTGCTGCTCCTGATTCATAGCATGCTGCCATTATGACATCTGAAGCTTGCCTCACAGGGACAAAAAACGCCATTATAGCTTTGCTCTCTCCATCAGCGGTCCCTCTGCCTAGGCAGAGTGGGAGTGTGCTGTTGTCTTGGTACCATATGTTTACTCCCGTTTCTTTAATCTTTCAGGAATGTTGTGTCACCATCTAATATTTCTCTCTCGAGGTGGAGAACAGCGGTGCTCACTCAGCAGCTAAATAACCTCAAGCATCGCCAGGATCCCACAAAGGAGATGGAACTAGGGGGCAAGGTGACGTCTGGGCTCTGCCGTGTGATCGCACGGGCACCAGGACAGCAGCTGGCGGAGGTGGACACATAATCATTTGGGAAAGAGGAGGAGAAGCAG